TGTACAGGTGACTCTATATACTCGGGTGTACAGGTGACTATATATACTCAGGTGTACGGGTGACTCTACATACTCAGGTGTACAGGTGACTCTATATACTCAGGTGTACGGGTGACTCTATATACTCAGGTGTACAGGTGACTCTATATACTCAGATGTACAGGTGACTCTATATACTCAGGTGTACAGGTGACTCTATATACTCAGGTGTACAGGTGACTCTATATACTCAGGTGTACAGGTGACTCTATATACTCAGGTGTACGGGTGACCGGGTGTACAGGTGACTATACATACTCAGGTGTACGGGTGACTCTATATACTCAGGTGTACAGGTGACTCTATATACTCAGGTGTACAGGTGACTCTATATACTCAGGTGTACAGGTGACTCTATATATACTCGGGTGTACAGGTGACTCTATATACTCAGGTGTACCTCTATATACTCAGGTGTTCAGGTGTGCACTCACTCTGCGGGCAGCTCTTGGAGGCGGAGGAGTAGGCGTGCTCCGCACAGAAGGAGGGTGTGGTGGGCCACATGTGACTGACCACCTCCTCAGACTTCACTGGGATCTCCTCATCACAGAATAGGTACGGCTTCACCTCGCCTGCGTCCTGACACACGTACAAACACGCGCACACACACACACACACACACACACACACTCTCTTCAGTACTTTAAACGCATAAAGGAGGAGGCCAGTGCTCTGCTAGAGGACAGGTGTGTGTGTGTGTGTATACCTTGCTGTCATAACCGTACGTCTCTCGAATGTCCTCGTCTGAGTCCGTCTCCTCATCATCATAGTCCAGCGAGGGCCGAGGAGACGCTGCTCTGCTGAAGCCCGACTGCTGGAACGTCTGGATGTGGCCCTGAATCAGTACACACTTGACACGGTTAGCCTCAACACACACTGTTGGCCTGAGCACACACTAGACACGGTTCTATTCCAGCTCTTATAAAGAGATAGACATGTGTTATACTATAGATCAGGGGTCACCAATCCTGGTCCTGGAGGGCCAGTGTCCCTGCAGGGTTTAGCTCCAACTTGCCTTAACACACCTGCCTGGATGTTTCAAGTATACCTAGTAAGACCTTGATTAGCTTGATCAGGTGTGTTTGATTAGGGTTGGAGCTAAAATCTGCAGGGCACCGGCCCTCCAGGAACAAGTTTGGTGACCCCTGCTATAGATTATTACACGGCTGTAGTGTACGGTTGTTGTCTCAGAATAACCCTTCAGTGTGATACAGCAGTGCTGTCAGGCTTTATTCTGAGAGAACACTGATGTGCGTTATCTCCAGCATGTACCGCAGCTCTTGTGAGCAGACGTGTTCTGTTATTCGGATATGATTAGGTACCTGCAGGTCAGGGTTAGCGGCGGCCTTCTGCAGCTCAGCGTTGATGATCTTCTCGGTCTTCTCGCGGGCCGCTAGCTCCACCATGCGCTGGCTGAGCACCGACAGCTTGGCGAGGGCGGAGGACAGCTCGTCTGTGGCCAGGGCCTGTCGGGCGCGGTCCTGCCAGCCCATGGCCCGCTCCGTCAGGCACTGCAGCGCCTCGCCCTCCGGCAGCCGCACCGGCAGCTTCTGCAGGGACACCAGCAGGGACAGGATGGTCTCCAGGCGCGGGCGGCGTGAGCGCTGGCACAGCGGGCACAGGAACTTGCTCTCCTTGCTGCCGCTCTGCCAGCCGGACGCAAGCTTCTTCTGGGATCCGGCTTTGGGCAGGGGCACGCAGGCGCCGTGAAACCAGTCCTTGCAGAGCTCACACTGCAGCATGAAGCCGGAGGCAGAGCGGCGGCACAGGCAGAACTTCACCTCCTCCACACGCTCCACCAGCGCCATCTTGGCCAGGTTGGCGGACCGTAACGAGTGCACGGCCTGCACCTCCTGCTGCTCGCGGGCCTTGAAGGCGGCCACCACTGCGGCGGGGTCCCGCGCATCCTCCACACACTCCTGCAGCTCGCACACCGCCTCCAGATCCAGCCCTCGCTCCTTCTCCAGCAGCTCCTTCACACGCCGACGCTTGCTCTTACTGCTGCCGTACACACCCACGTCCACACGGGGGCTCAGCACCTGCAGGATACACACACGACCATTACCACTGCTGCCGTACGCTAACACACCCACACAGGGGCTCAGCACCTGCAGGACACCTGACCTTTACTCCCGCTGTGTGTGTGTTTACCTGCAGCAGTGTGTATGTGGAGTTCTTCTTCAGGAAGGTGCGGGCGGTCCTCTCTCTCCAGGCTCTTGCTGAGCCCACCTGAGACTCCACCTGGGGCAGAGCCTCCAGCCGTACTGGGATAGAGCGGCCCCTCGCCAGCAGACCCTCCAGCTGCTCCAGGTAGGCGTAGTTAGTGCCGTTCTGTTGATCGACATGAACACACACTGGAGTTAATCAGGTAATGCTTTGCATATGGGTCGGTTCGAGGTAGGTTAGAAGGCCACCTCAGCTTTCAAATTTGAAGACCACTTTCAGTCTTGCCCAAACCGAACTCCTTTGGTATGACAGTAAGCTAATCAATATCCCAGCCTGCTCTGCACAAGCACAGCTGTCAGCTCCCCTGCCGGTCAGTTTTGGGGAACACACACACACACACACAGCCCTGACCCTCACCTGTATGGCCTCCACCCTGGCGCTCCACTCTTTGGCGCGGTGCAGGGCGTCTCTGAGTGTCAGCACATTGGGCAGGTGTGCCGGGATGTTCTTGGCCTCGGTGACGATGCTCTCCAGCGTCAGCAGGTTGTGTCTTGGCCTGCGGAGAGAAGCAGAGGACTCTTTTAGCACACAGATTGACCCTGATGCTGACCCGGATGATAACCTAGACACTGACCGGGCCTGCAGACAGGCTCTGGCACGCTCCTCCCAGTGCTCGGACACCGTCAGCAGCTCCTGCAGCTCCGCCATGGCCTTCTCCACGGCCGGGTGCGGGGCCAGACCTACGCCCGAGTCGATGAGGCGCTTCATCAGCTCCAGCGTGACCCTCTGCGGTTCCGCAAGTGTTACACGCACCTCGTCCAGCCAGCGAGCCTGGGTCAGCTCCTGCTGCAGCCGAGGCAGCTCCGGCAGCTCCACGTCCAGCCCTGACCCCAGGTCCAGCAGCGCCTGCAGCTTCCCGGAGTCTGGCGTCAGGTCCGCCAGCGCTGCCTGCGCACGCTCGTGGAACAACAGCACACTCTCCAGCAGATCCTGAAGCAGCACAGGGGGCGGGGAG